GAGAAAGCATGAGCAGGGGCAGGCGTAGAGGGAGAAGCAGACTCCCCACTGAACAGGGACCCCGATGCGGGGCTCGATCCCAGGACCCTGGGATCATGACCTGAGCCAAAGGCAGACACTTAACCGACTGAGCCACCCAGGTGCCCCAAATAAAATCTTTAAACAAAACAAAATGTCTCGTCTGAGTTCAGCTGCTAATGTAGAATTGGACCTTAGGTAGCCTTATGTAAATTGACCAGAAGCCTCACTGATGACATCAATAGTCAATTAACATGTATTTTGCATGTTATATGTATTATATACGGCATTCTTACAATAAAGTAAGCTAGAGAAAAGAACATGTTATTAAGAACTCATAAGGAAGAGAAAAATACATGTACGGTACTGTACTGTATTTATTGAAAAAAATCCATGTGTCGGTGGACCTGCACAGTTCAAACCCGTATTGTTCAAGGGTCAGCAGTACTTAAAAAAACAAACAAACAAACAAAACCATCTTTCATGAAATTTCACCTCTGTCCCTCCTGTCGCTTACCCAGAGTAGAGTAAATGTTTGTTGTTGCTGTTATCCTTGAACCTTGCCTCATCCCATTGCAGGAGCGACCTTGAAAGCATCTAGCAATAGTCTGAGAAGCAATCCTTTCTTTCTTGTCTGCATCACGGTTGTTTGTGGTCAATAGAGGGAGGGAATCCTGCTGTTCATCTGACCTTGGCAGATCCAACTGGAAACGAACCAGCTAATTTCTGGACCCAAGTGGTAGAGAGAAAGTTCCGCTCATCTGGGACTCAGCTTCATGCCATACTAAACAGGCTAGTGAGGCTTGCACAGAGTAGCAGAAGATGAGTATCATCACGGCTTCATGTTGGAAAAGCACAGGCAACGTAAATATGCAAATCTGCATTTCCTTTCACAAGCCCCAGTGCTTTGCAGATAGAAAAGGGGAATTGCTTCTCCATTTTGTATGTATAAATGGTCAGGATTAGTCCGAGGCAAGTGGCCTGTCCCGCAGCCTACTTCTCCTTGTTCTCCCCATACCCCCTCCACGTTGGACAATTCTGCTTTTTCCCAGCTGGGCACCAGTGCCTTTAGGTTTTTCACACCATCATCTCTAAACTTGGTCTCATGCCTCTCATTTCCATGAAGGTCTAAAAGACTATTAACAGCTGAACGTGTTGTGCTCCCTCCAAATGTTTCCGTTTTAGCAGGGGACCGGTCTCCGTGCGTGGAGGCAGAGTCCAGAGTGGAATGTTTACTAGCATGCAGTTTGGGGTTTGGAAGGGTGTGGTGCTGTGGACAGTGTTCCTGGTTATATTTAATCTTTCCACCGCTCTGAAATCATAACTCTTAGGCTTTGCTTCCTCTACTCCTCCCTAGAGGCCTCTTCCAGCTCCTTCCTGTGTAGCTCCTAGTGCTACAGAATAGGCTTGCAGTGAGAAAAACAGTGTCCGTGGGTAAACTCTAGTGTATCGGGCTTTTCTAAAAAGGAAACTCTGTAGAGTCCAGGCAGCTCCCCTCAAGCATTTGCAGTGACTCTTGCTGATGATGCACGTTTCATTTTCTGATCAGGTTATTTGTCTTAATTTCAGCCAAGTGCCCATATAAGTGAATAACGCCAGTGTTGCCACGTCTGGGCAGTCAGTTAACCTGGATAAGGAGCAACAGAAAAAGAAAGGGAGAGGTTTTTTATCACCGTTTTTGCTCTCCTGCCTCATTCTGCTAACATTTCCTTCTGCTTCTTATTTCAGGCTCTCCCCATCTCCACCACACCTACCCAACACACACACATCCACACGCACACACATATTCACCCTCCCGTTAGGAATTATGGGCTAAAAACGACTGAATTTTTTGCTTTGTTACCATTTTGGCATACATGTCGTTAACACTTTCCCACTGATGTGCTCTAAGGGAGGTTCAGTGAATCTGGAATCCTCTGGGATACTAGGTTCTCTCTCCAGGGTCTGTTGTATCTTGTTCACCCAGACTTTGGCAAACTAAAGCAGAATGCCTACGCATTTATTCTCGGACAACTTTGAATTTTATATTGCAGCATTCAGAAACATATTTGGACTGTAGTGTCGTTTGGCTTTTTAGTAATATTGGGATTACCCCTTCACTAAAAGGAGATTAGTGTGTCATTTTTATTTTTATTTTTTCAAAGATTGATTTATTTATTTTAGAGAGAGAGCACGAGTGCGTGCATGTGACTGGGGGGAGGGGCAGAGGGAGAGAGAGAGAGAATCCTGAAGCAGACTCCCCGCTGAGCGCAGAGCCTGAGGCAGGGCTCAGTCCTGATCCCGAGATCATGACCTCAGCCAAAATCAAGAGGCGGCAGCTTAACCGACTGAGCCACCCAGGCGCCCCAAGTGTGTCATTTTTAGTTGTGACTGGGTTCTTCAGTCATATTGTTTGAATGCAAAACATTCATTGATTAAACGAATAGTACAGTCGTTGAATCCCAGAATAGGCAGACTTCTATAGGCTCACATTTGCATATATTATCTATATTGATCTATATATCTATATTGTATCTGTCTATATATCTATATTATCTATATTGATGCCCCCTCCCAATCTGAAAAAAAAAATGGCTACTGTATATTTTCATTCTAGAGACAGAGTTTAGGTCTTGAAGAATATGTACACAAAGAAGAGAACATTTTGCCTTGACGTGGCTCCCAGAAAACACGCAGATTAGGAATGACACGGCTGGCTCTATCTAATGGGAAAGCCCATTACCGGTCTTGTCCCCCATGAAAAGGTACATTTTATTCCTACCACTGCATCTGGGAAAAGAAGATTCAAACTTCTAGACCTCCTGGGAAGAAATGTTTTTAGAAGGTGCATTTCCATCCAGAACATGGGTTTCTTATAGATAAGTATATCTACATTATTGGCTGGCAAACTCATAGATTGTGCCTATGTTTGAGGATACTTCTAGTTTCAAATACACATATAGGAGACTGGAAGAATTGTCCATACGTTTTCATACGTGGAATACATTTGTAAATCAACAATTAATTTGTATTTAAAACAACAGCTGACTGGTGTCTTCCCTAGGGACAGTGGCATATCAGAATGAAGGCAAAGTGAAATGTATTTGTTTCATGATTTGTTGCTGATGGTTGAGCAGTGTTCGGAAGGCCAGAGGTCCTATCTGGAAAAGTCACCTGAGGCCAGGAAGAGCTGGCACAGGTTCAAATCCATGAAGACGAGCTGAGAGGGGCAAGGTCAAGCAGCAGAAACCAGGAACCGAGGTTGGGAGCCAAAGGCAGGCCTTGGAAAAGTTTGGGCAGCATGGAGTTAGGATTCCAGGCCGTTGGGACCCAGTGGGTGGCAGCAGGGAGGACAGGGAGCAGAGGACGAGGCAGTGTGGACGGTGGCCCTGCTGAACCCGGTGACTGAACTGCGCACTTGGAAACATCTCAGAAAGGCTCCAGCACCTTCTTGGCGGACTGTAAGGACGTTGTGTAGGTGACGGGCATGAACTGGAACCCATGCATTCGGGTTTCCTGGAACCGGGCTGAGTGTTGACATGCTCAGGTCGGGTGAGCGCGTGGCTTCTCAGCTTGGCTGTCATTTCCCATCACCGCTTCGCTCTGACTCACCGATGGCCTGCCACATGTCATTGGGTGGCTCAGCTGCTGCTTTCACTTCTCCCGAAGGTATACAGAGGTTTGGGTCTCGGCTTGTACATTTTTGTCTCCTGAGAGCCAGAGGAAGTGGCCGTTTGATAGTTTGGTTTGCTGAGTTGAATCCTTACAGTGTCTGACAGTTTCAATTTCTTTTCTCATAGGTATTTGATCCTGATGACCTTTATTCAGGGGTCAACTTCTCCAAGGTTCTGAGCACTCTTTTAGCTGTCAACAAAGCAACAGAAGGTAAGCAGGGTTTGTGATTTATGAGTGGTGCGTGACATGTTTGGACCCACGGGCTTCTCATTTCCCCTAGGAGCCAGCCGTGGCCAGGACTGTTCGAATGGGGCAGATTGCTCCTCTCCTCGAAAATAAATCCCAGTGGGTGTCACATGCTTTAGTTGTTCATACTTGAGGATTTTAACATGCCTCTCACAGATGTTACTGTAATGCCCTTCACATAATGATAAGAACCAAGAAACTATTTCGTTCGAAGCTACGGAATAAGCAACGGAGTGTAACAAGACAGAAAATGAAAAGGAAAAGACCAGTTCTCTTTTTCATAAACTTTACAGAAGATAGCTGTTACTTCCTTGTCCCCCCTACAGATGTGTTTTTCTCATAGATTTTTGTGTGCATCCATCCATGTAAAGGAAGTTGTCAGTAACCTCGCTCTGGAAATGAAACCTCAGGTTCATAGTGAGTGAAGAGTATTTTTTTTATTTAAATGCTTAATAGCCACCACATTGGAGATATTGAATATAAATCCTAATGAATGTGAAGAAAACGCTGATACCTTGGAGTATAACTTCACTCCTTCTGTGACACAGCATCTTACCTACAGCTGGGTGGAAATAACCCGAGTTAAAATGCGTCGAGCCCTCACCATGGGTCTAATCAATTCTAAGAACCATCAGTGGTCTCATCTTTGAAACGACTCTGGGGGTAGGTATTATTATTAGGTCCATGTTACAGATAAGGGAAGTCAGGCCCACAGTTGCCCAGCTGGAAAGTGGCAGAGCTGGGATCCAGCCCCCATCGGATTGACCCCAGGACCCTTATGCCCGAGCATGACTCTTGCTGTTCATACCGTTGGAGAGTCAATAGGCTGTGTGCCCAGCACTGCCAGGCGCCACAAAGGAAGTGTGAGATATGGTCCCAGCCCTTGAGAACAGACTGTCTGTTTAGGGAGACTCAACTTACCCACGTGAAACAATTAGCAAACAAGAGCAGACAATATAGTCAATTGCCAAATAGAATGGAACATCTAGGAAGCTATCAAGTAATTACAGTTTTAGTCAAAAGAGCTGTATATAATAGCAATAAATGTAAAAATACTTCTCTAGAGTTGTTCTTTTGCTATTTGGGAAAAAAAATGCTTTTGAGCTATTGCAAGGCGTATAGCAGAAAGTACAGCTAATTCAAGTAACTATATTTAACACACATGACAACTACCCAGTGTTGGGCAGGGAGGATCGTATAATTCTAACATTATGCCATACAAATTATACGTTCCTTTGCCAAACTCTGCTAGCAAGTTTTACAGTCTCTTCCCTTGCCACAGATATTTATAAAATACAAGGAGGTGAAAGTTAAAACCCACAGCATCAAGGAAATTACTTGGATACTGAGCTTGTCGCCTAGGGAATGTTTGGGCTTTAGAGTTTTGCAGTTTATGTCTTTTAAAAATAAATGGAGAGGAAAAGAACCCTCATTTGAATTTGTCAAGAAGCCAGCTCCTCTCTTTAGCACACTGTCAGCATACGGAAAACATCCAGCTCAGCGCTGGTCTGATCGAATTTCACAAGGTTTCAAGGAAGAGAAGATTCTTGAGTTTGATTTTTTAGAAGAAGAATCCTGGTATCAAGATTGCATCTCTCCCAGACACACATTCTCTCTCCGATTCGCCTTCTCCTCCCCCCCAACCCCCCACCCCCAGGCTCCGGGGGAGAGTTTACATTACAGACACCACACGTACTGCTGCCTATGAGGAAGACAGAACCACCCAGTTAAGGGCCAAAACACAAAGAGAGAAGTTTGAAATATTTCAAAGTAATAAGAGCCACAAACAGCTGTTTGGTACCCAATATAGTTCTGCCTTGGCTAACAGGGCGTGCTGTTGCAACTGGTTCAAGAGGGGAGAGTGGTAGGGAAATGGGTTAAGCGAAAATGTGGCTTTGTCGCTGTTTTTCATTCTACTGGACAGCAATGGCCAGTAAGGCTCCGCAGAAGGAAGTTGGCCACCAAACTGGAGGGGGTGGGGGTGGGGCGGAATGAAATACACTTGGGCACGTTCCTAATGGTAACAGTGAGGAGGACGGCCCCGGGGGCCTTTGATAATGTCCCATGAAAGATGATGTGATGTTGTAGCTGTGTTTCTGACATGAGCGGTTCCCTTTATCTTGCCTTTTCCTCTTTTCACAGATCAGCTCTCAGAAAGACCATGTGGACGTTCCTCTTCTCTTAGTGCTGCTAACAGTTCTCAGACAAACCCGCAGACAACAGTTGTTAGCACAGCCCCAGGCCTGCAGAGGCAGTCAAAGGCGGTGGTAAGTATAGAACCCAATTCCCCTTGCCTGTTCTGGAATCCGTCAAATGAGACCCCCCCGCCCCCAGTCCCGGTTTCTTCTGCATCCGTGATGAGATAGCCGGCCTGTGTGTTGGGGGCGTCGCCCCCAAAACTACCCTGAAACCCAGTGCCAGTTCAGGCCTGTGGGCCACAGGGTCAGAGACCCGGGGTTGAAGCCCCAGAGTTCTTTCCCTTCCACGAACTGAGTGAGTCGTGTGGTGGAGGCTGTGCAAATGGAAGTCATGGTAACTACTTCCGGATGGCAGTTTGCTGTCGTTTCTTAGGGGAATGAGATTGGGCCTGGCACGGCAGAGGCAATCAATACCTATTACTTGCTCTCATCATCGTGATCGCCATTTTATTTTTCTCTTTGCATTCCTAGGGAGCCTGTGAGGAGCTCCCGCATTGGCTGTAGCCCCATTATCTTTGCATTTGGTCTTGACGGGAGCTTTTCTTTGGGAGGAGCCGCCTGTCTTCTGCTCACTAGAGACTTTATTCCTTGTCAGAAGCCACCCACTTGCTCCAAGCCATCAGGAGCTCTTACTTCCAAGGCACTTTAACTACTTCCAAAGTGCTTAACCTTTTGAGATCACGATCCCTCTGAGGAGCTGATGAACACTACAGTTCCACAGCCCTGGGACCCTCTCAGATTGGATGCAAAATCTCCTGCATGTGAACTTCTGGGGCTGTGTTTTGAGCAAAGATCCCTTGTGCTCATCAGCTTCTCAGAGGGGCCCATGACAGGTTAACAAATCCCGACTCAGGTAACAATGGGGTATTTGATGTTTGCGTATGACAAAATCTTAGCCAATTTAAGATATTCTTAGCAATCGGGAGGTGGGAGGCAGATGTTATGGGTGGATTCGTACCTAATCTTGGCCGTGTAATTATGTAAGACCGTGTCTGTGTGTTGGGTAGAGGCAGGGTGGAATGGTTTATCATTCTACTCTGTTTCCCGGCTCATTTAAACAAGTATCTTCAGGTCATTGGTGAGGGAGAGGGAAATGAAAGCTACGACCCCCTTCAAAACACACATTCTCAGAAATGCAAAAGGTTGCATGCGCTTCTGAGCCGCTTCTTAACCTCCCCCCACCCCCCAGTCCCACTCCTCAGCTAACAACTCAAGACTGAGATAGACCTGGGGTTTCATCCTTGCTCACCCCACTTTATTTGCCTCAATTCATTTAATCTCTGCCCCTGCCCCATTTAGAGGGCTGCTTAATCTGGCTTTCGTTTCTCTAGGAGATGACAGAAAATGGAAGCCATCAGTTGATAGTAAAGGCAAGATTCAACTTTAAGCAGACTAACGAAGATGAACTGTCGGTTTGTAAAGGGGACATCATTTATGTCACCAGAGTGGAAGAAGGAGGCTGGTGGGAAGGCACATTAAATGGCAGAACAGGCTGGTTCCCTAGTAATTATGTCCGAGAAATTAAATCCAGTGGTAAGTGGATCTTTTAAAAGCCTTTTTGAACGTGACTCTTGTACTTTCTTGTATTCCTGCTGCGAATCTTATAGTTTTAATTGGTTCCCAGAAACTCTTTGTATTTGCGCATGCATGCCAACAATAAGGGTAGAAGAGAACTGGGGGGAAAAATCTGTGATTAGATATTTTGAAACAAAGTTGTATTTAGATTACATCAAGGCAGCAAAAGCCTAAAAAAGCCAAAGAATTCAAAGCTCAGACACCTGTTCCACCTTAACTATGTCCCGTTCTATCTACTAATTCTAGCCCATGGACTACAGTGCATAGTCCTTCCTGCTGCTCCAAGACTCACCATGATAGAAAACAATAATAAGAGAGGCTATGTGCTAACTTCCTTTTTTTAGCCCTAAGCCCTTTAAGCAGACCTAAGTCTAAATGCCCCAGAGATGTGTTCGAGAAATAACAACCGTAGGACTGCAAGCTGTCTGGCCGTTTTGATTCTGAAGATTGTCTTTAACTCGTTGCATACTGCTAACTACTTATCCTCTTTCATAATAATATCCAGAGAATGAAATCTAATAATTCTTCAGTAGTCTTTCTAGAACTTTCTTAGGTAACTTCCTTGCCTTTTCTTATTTAAGAAAGTAGGCCCTGCCTATATTACCAAAGAGCCCTGATGTATAAAGCTATGTCACAATATACATAACATAGTGTTCAGTTATTCCCACTATTGTATCTCTTCACTTCCCCAAAATATGTACTACTCCTACTGAGGAGCAGTTAGCTCCTCAGTGCATTTTCTTCCTTTCGTAGATGTCTTTATTGTTTTCTTAATGCCTAAAAATTAATACTATTAACTAATATAATTATAGGCTCACTGTAAATGAATTAAAACATTACAGAGACGTGTAATGTAGATAATACGAATTCCTCTCTCCTTTGCACCCTCCCCCAGATAACCACTGTTAGGAGCTTTTTTCCCCTAAAGCATTTAAGAGAAAGTTTAATCTGCACACTTTCTGGGTTGTGCGTTCATTTAAGGGCAGTGGGGGTGGGGAGGGGGCATCTCCTTTAATGGAATAAATGTTTGCTAACGGATTTATAATTATATGTGTATGTGTAGACTTCTCAGCATTTTTTTAAGATTCTATTTTTACATAACTCTACACCCAGTGTGGGGCTTGAACTCCCAACCCCGAGATCAGGAGTCGCACGCTCTAGCGACTGAGCCAGCCAGGCGCCCCTTAGCATTTTTCATTATTGGGAATCCCGACGTTTCTGTTGAGCCCTGAAATATTTTCACAGGCCTTGCTTGGAATTTCCTTGGTTTTGATGATTCTCACAGCTGATTTTTACCCCTGCTACATCTTTCAATTACTTTGAGCTGGTGGTCAGGCTCTCTAACTTTCCAGATTCACACTAGCTTTGTTCTTTGATTCAGTGTCTTCATCTGCCAAATTAAAGGCCACAGCACTTGCCGCCTTGCCTGGGACCCCCAAGCATTGTTGAGAGGACTCGGGAAGTGGACAGACAGCACGTCCTCATTGTCCTGTCCCTCACTGAGATGCCTCGTACTGCAGTCTGCCTGCTGCTTTGTGGACTGCCCTGCGCTGTTGGTCCTGAGCTTTGGACCCTTCCCTTCAAGTTTCTCCTATACTCTCTTTGGTTTGGAACTCAGTGAAGGACTCACGTGGCAAGCTCTGGCTCTGATTTGAGCACCTAGGTAACCCTTAGAAGCATCTTACCCGCCCGTCAAGGATGGGCCTGGACAGCTGGGGCCAGGAAGCCTGCTAGTTAAATGAAACCTAATTTAAACTCAGTAGCCAGAGTGATTCTTTCAAAATGGAACTTGGGTAATGGCTCCCCATCTCAAAAAGAGTAAAAGCCAAGGTCATCTCACTAGTCTAGGAGGCCCCCCAGGATTTGGCTTCCTGTTGCCCCTCTGACCTCCTCTCTGACCTTTCTCCCCCTCACTCTACTTCAGCCACACGGGCACCTGCCTCCCTTGCTGCCCCTCACCTCCTTCAGGTCTTTGCTTACTTGTCTGCCTCGCAGTAGGGCCTTCTTGATCACCCGAGAAAACTGAACCTTATGCCCATTGCCCCGTCCCCCTACCCGTTCTGTTTTTTTTTTTTTTTGTTTGTTTACCACTTCTCTCCATCTAATGTGGTATACATGTGCTTATTTATTTCATTCACTGTCTGTATCTTCCCATGAGAATGTACGTGCCATGAGGGCAGAGATGTTCTTCTGCTTTGTTTAGGCTCAGGAAATCTCTGTAAAATGAACAAATACTGTGGGGCAGGTCATTACGTTCTGTTCGGCTTGTTCACTGAGCGTCAGTTAGATACTGGGTAGTAGTGGGGGGGGAGGCTATAATAGTCTGCCCTCACGGACCCTGCCTCCAAGGACCTTACAGTCTAGTGGTCAAGCTAGGTGTGGACATAAGCAACTGTAACGGGTAGCATAAGCTAAGTAACACAGGCAAAGCTCTAAGCCTAGATAAGATGCTGTTGGAGCAGTAAAGAAATGATTCTGTTAACAGTAACCTAGGGGCGGGGGGAAGCACTTAAATTGGGTCTTGAGGGACGAAAAGAAGCTTCGGCAGGTGGAAGGTTGGAGGGCGTTAGTAAGTTAAAGAACGGAAGTCGGAGGGCGCGGAGTGGGTGGTAGGGTGACTTGGGTTGAGGGGAAGGCAAGTCAAGAGGAGTGGGACCTTGGCTGGAGCCACATGAAGAAGGGTGTCAACGGAAAGCAGGGGATCACTTGTGGTTCCAAAAGCTCTTTCTAGCGGTGGTGTGGGGGCTGGGTGGCCGAGACGTGGTGGGGGATAAGCAATGAGGGTGTGGGGAAGCCAGTAGAGGCTCTTACTCAGATCTAGGCAGTCCAGATAGTGGTACGAGCCACTTTTGCGATAGTGGAGCAGAAGAAGTGGGTGGGTGCGGTAGATACTGTTAAAATACAATCGAGAAAATTCGCTGATGATTTGTTATGAGCCAAAGGGAAGAGGTGAGGATAACTCCAAGTCTAAGGGTCCAGCCTGAGGGTGAGCTCTTTAAGGGCATGTGGTGTCATGCACCTTGCCAGCCAGCAAAGGGTTCTTTGCCACGACTGGGCTATCAGGCTCTGTCCTGGGCACTGGTGAGGCAGAGAAAGCGAGACATGAGCTTTGCCCTTGTGTTCTTAGTCTAGCAAGTGGGGGGAGATCTCTTAGAATGTGGTAGGATAAGCTCAGTGATGGAGTTAAATGCAGGGTGCTGTGGAGAATGGTGAGCCAAAGAGGGATGCCTGACTCACCGGACACGTAGGGCGATGGGGACTTACTCATCTTTGTCAGCTTTCTGTCTCCAGAGAGCCTAACACATTGGTTTTGACACAGGAAATATAGGAAATGTTTAATACGTGCTGAACTCCATTAATAGAGAAGATGAAGAGGGTGTGTGTGTGTGTGTGTGTGTGTGTGTGTGTGTGTGTGTGTGTTGGGTGGGTGGTCGGCACTGAAGATAAAGAGTTGCTTTGGACATGTGGAGTAGAGGCACCAGAGAATCACAGTTCAGAAGATTTCCGGCAGGTAGTTGTCCTTACGGATTTAGAGTCCGGGGGAGAACTAACAGCTGGAGATGAAACCAATAACAGACCGTGTAAAGTGATAGATGATGATAATGTGTAAACTCCATAGCAGATCATCAGTGGACAGGGAGTGTGCTGTGGGTGGAGAGATGGGAAGAGGCTTTGGGGAGGAGGTAGGGCTTGAGCTGAGCCCTCAAAGACATGGAGGCTGTGGATAGGCCCAGATGAGAGGAGAGAACAATCCAACTCATAGCGATTGGTGGGGACAGGACAAAAACCACAGAGGATCTGTGGTAGCATTGAGCAGAGGGAGCTTGGGGGATGGTAGAGGAGATCAGCTTGATGGAGTGAAGATGTCTTGTTGGGAAGATCGAGGATGCTGCTGAGGGAATTTTAAGTTCGATGCTGTGCTGTTTTGTGTTTGGTTTAGAAAATACCTGTCAATTTTTAAATTTCTTTCCACGAAGCTCATACTGATATATAAGCTGAGGAAAGGAGATTTGTCTTTAAGGAGTTTTTTTTTTTAAATGATTCATAGATGAAATGCATCTCTCCATAGACACGACACTGTCCATTTCGAGTTTTACAAGATTTTATTTATTTATTTGACAGAGAGAGACACAGCGAGAGAGGGAACACAAGCAGGGGGAGTGGGAGAGGGAGAAGCAGGCTTCCCGCCAAGCAGGGAGCCCGATGCAGGGCTTGATCCCAGGACCCTGGGATCATGACCTGAGCTGAAGGCAGACGCTTAATGACTGAGCAACCCAGGCGCCCCATGTCCATTTCGAGTTTTAAACCTCACGGCAATACAACCTCGTGGGTCATCCAAGAAGTTGAACCAGGCATCAAACTAAAGGATTCCTGTGATCCCTGTCTGCTTACCATTGGATCAGACATGTAACACTGAGGTCACTCAAATAGTCCGTAATTCTGACCAACTCATTCATGGTCGCTTTGGGTACCGTTCATTCAGGCCGACATTGCCCATTTGTGTTGTCTTAAAAACAAAACCAAGCAACCCTAGCCCCGTGCAAACCCCGCCCTGCAGATTGCTGTGTCGTGGGAGTGCTGTGCACAGTTTCCTTCCCTTGAGCCTGTCATGGACAAGAGCACTTTGTGCTCTGGTAAATGCCCTTGGGGAGTAGGATTTTAAGTTTTAGATTCCACTGTAGCTTTTGTCTAGAAGATAATTATGGCCAAAGCCCTGGGGGCAGCTTCTTCCCTCTGTTCAGGAGGAGGCTGGTTTCAGAGGACTTGTGGAACCACCAATCTACTACTGTAGAAAGTTCAGAAATAGAATATTTGAGTCTCTCTCTCTCTCACACACACATATGCACGTACGCACGCGTGTGCGCGCGCACACACACAAAAGTCCTTTCAACATGAGCTTGAGGCTGAAGGTAGAGTAGGTTTTGTGACCATGAGAAGCCTCTCGCCAAGGATGATGG